GCAAACAAAGTTGAAAACACATGCCTCTTTGTCGTCTAAAAGTACACCTGTCGTTTTTTTGTAAAAAATCTCAAAGTCACTCCACGTCACGTCACTGCCCGCTCTTTCTAATAAATTTAAGAACCGTTTAATCCCCTATAAAAAGTTAGAATTCAGGTATCAAATGACAAGTATGATACTCGAGGATGAAATTCAAATCTAGAAGAAACGCGCAAAAAGTGAATCAACTGGCAGCTGTTAAGCATCTTACTTTATGAGATGTGCTATTTGGTACTGAATTAGATGGGCGAGAATAATGGGAAGGGAAATTAAGTGCTAGTTCTGGCGGCTGTAAACGGTAAGAACGAGAATCTGGTCCTGGATCTAATGCAGCAGAATTATAAGGTAATGAGTTTTCACGGGTTTGATGATTTCTTCTCGTACTAAAATTGTTTTCGCGAGCCTAAAAAGTAAAGAGAATTTAAATGAAGGCCTTGATAAAGACAAAGTTAAAAACTACTACTTACTAGTCAAAAATTAAAAACTAAATTACAGAAGAAGAAACTTGGACTGTACTAATTTCCCCTTCCACTTTGTGACCGTTAATGAAAAGACCCAACAAACCTCTTCGGCAAAGACCATCCTTCTTTGATCTACTGATCCAGTTTCTGAAAGTATATCACCTTGCTTTACTGCCTTCCAACCTTGATTTTGATTTTGAAACGGCTGCTTCCTTGAACTAAGCTGTTTCAACTGCTGAGGGCCATGTCCTACAAATGTTGATGAATAATACTGAGAGTCCATCAATGCCTTTTTCATCAAGAAAAAACAAATATATATAATTATGCGATTTAGAGCTATATATAGTCAGTTAAGTAAACCGCATTTGACGATTTCAATACCAAATGGGTTCTACAACACTTTTGCTGCGCTTGCGTTTAGACGTTACAAAATTGATTCAGGTGCAAAAATTCGAACTGTTACGCCGAAACTGCTCAATTCTTAACTCTATCCCCTTTTGCTTTCTGGCTTTGCACATATATGAAGCAAAAGTCTCAAACTGTAGACTTTTAAAGCTTAAGCAACTGATTGAACCCAGAATTAGTTATTTTCATGCACAGATAACAGAGTTACAGTAAAGTCTAGTTAAATAAAAAACAGAAGGTAAACGATTAGAGAAAAAAACTTTTTTTCCAGTTACTTTCCTCAGTTCTTTGAACTCAAATTCAGATTGTAAAGCTTAGCAGAATTATAAAAGCTCAATCAATCTAAGCTGCCAAATCAAAGAAATGAAATAACTCTTCTACCTTCTCCTTAATAAACAGCGTTTTCTTCTCCTAAAAAACTGCAACGTTTTTATAGTTTTCGATTTCTTCCACTCAATTTTATACTGAAATGATTTTTGAACTCTCCGTGTTTGTTTTTTCTGTTCCTTGTGCCTCGGTTACACTTTTCCTGTATACTTTCTAAAATGTTTGGAAAGTAATTTAGATATGAATCTATTTTGGAGTAATTAAAACTTAAGCGGTTAAGCACCTCATCTTTGTATTATCAAAACTTACTGTAAATTTAAAACTAATGAGATATATTGAAATTAAATCATATTATAAAGCCAGCACTAAATGAAGACTCAACCGTGTAAGTTTCTGTAGTAAGAATAAATGGTATAGCAAAACGAAATTTGAAACTTCGCTTAAAATTAATTACTGCAAGTCAGACTCCACAGCTACATACATGCTACATGGCTTTGTTAACCAATGTCAAATCAAATACTTCCACATTCTGTACTCTGGATTTCTCAAACTCTGGTTAACCATAAACGTTGAAGATTGGGAAGCTGAGCAAATTCACCTCAAATTGTGCCTGCGGTCACATCCTACTAAGGTAAACGCAGAAATAACCAAATTCTCTGCGCATAATGTACATTTTTGAATAATTGTAACTCCGTCCACTTGCAGCCGGTTTTCAATCTCGTTATTCTTTTGCTGGTCTATCCTCTTGTAAACTTTTTTTTTGAAAAATAAACTTATTTTGAACATTTCCCTTATAAATGTTGAATCTACAAATTGAGCATTGGCAAGGACCAAAAATTACAGGATAAAATGTGATATGAAACAAAAAAGCTCAATATTTTCACAGAGTAATTTGAAGATATGACTAAAACCCATCACTTCATGCGTCACTATGAATTTTTTTACCTTTTTTATGGAATTTTACAAGAATTAAGACGGCATTTAAACACAGAGCCGCCAGAAACTTTTGGAAAAATATTCAGACACTTCCAAACTTATCAGAGCTGAACCAACCAAAACTGAAAATTTTAATTATAAAAAATAAAGACAGGTAACAGCAAAAAAGAGCATGCTTAGGCGTAAACACGGTTGTCTAAAACGGCTCCAATTAAACCAACTATACAATTAGCAGCTAACAGCACCTGTACATTCCAACTACTCAATTTTTTACGTTTTCAAAAACAGGCAAATGATGGTTTGAAATCACTGAATCAACCCCATAACAAAAACCATCCAAGAGTTACTCTGACAACACTTAAAATGCAAAATCAATTAATCAAGGGTTGTCTCAATTAGCTTTGAAGTATATACAAAAACAAATCAACTTTACAAGTAAGAAAACCGCTAAAGTCATTCAAGAAATTACCATGGAATCAAAAACTTTTCAGGTTTTTCCTACAGCACTCGTTCCAAGAGCTACAAAAACTTCAACAGAAAACAAACCGCACAAAGCCAATTTCCAAAGATTAGAAAATAATGAAATTTGTAGTAAAATGCTTTTTCTCATTCTGTTCAGTGTAGAAATGTTTTCAAATGTAAAACAAAAGCTGCCAGTTCCAAAAGCATATACAATGAGGAAATATGGCACCAACTTGAAAAGTCCAAGCGTCCAAATCACCAAAAATTAGATAAAAATAGTTAATGTGATAGAACGACGATAAAAATCACGCTGCAGTGGACGTAAAACCAGCGAAAATAATCAGTAATGAGTTCGCTTATTTAAGGCTATTTACAAAAAAAAGTTACTCTATGCAACATCACAACAAGGTTAACATTCAAAATGTATAAAATAATTTCTAAGTAATAAATTGAATTTTCGAAACCTGTAAAATTTTGCTTAGCAACTGAACAATGGACCTTCTCTTAACTACTACCAACAGCAGATCAACTCGAATGATCAATGGGTGGCGCAAAGTCACAGCGTAGAAAGTGGTTTTAAGGTCACTGGCAGATAATCACAGATAACTAAATAAATATCAACTTACCACGATAATTGCAACAGGAAACTCCAAACTGCTTCTTCTTTTTTGACTTAGTATTAAGCACCATCTCTATATTATGTGCAACTTCCTTCCGTTTTACAGCAAACCACCTCTGGTTCTTCCTTTCGACATACATGGCCCCGATTTGACCGGCAAGAAAAGCTTCAAGAGACGAGTATCCTGACGGTATCGTTAACGAACAACCGAAAAATGTCCTGTAAGAATAAATTTGTAGAACAGATCGAAGAAGTATGATATATGCAATTTTAAAGAAACATTTAGCTAACCTGCATCAGAAGAAAAAGAAAAATTAATTAGGTGGAATAACGTGACAAATTACCGGTACTTTGTTTCCACTTCCTTTGTACTGCATCCATCTTTTTCTGCTCCAAGCACTGATGCTATTCTGAGCAGCAGTTCCTTCTCATCTTCAGCCATATTTCAATTCCTTTATTAAGCGGAAACTTTCAAAACCTAATTTTTAAGTCGCGGAAGCCTAAAATCACACCCCCGGATGGTCAAATCGATCCCAAGACTGTCTCTTATCTATTAGTGTGCAACACTTTTAAAACCCTTTCCCACCCGACTCTATCAGTCGTTACAAAAAAACTGTTATTCATATGACTTTCTCAACCATCAAGAAACTACAGATTTGAACTCATCAAACTACTTGGTCCCCACAATGCATCGTATACAAACACTTCCAAACATTCTAATGCCGAACAAAGAATAACGCGGTTACAAAGTCGTGGTTATATCCGGATAGGTGAGAAATCCAGCGGTATTCATTTTCACCACCGTGATGTGAAAAACAGACTTTCTCACCCTGCTTCAGGAGTTGTTGTAAAAATGTTACAAATCAAAAACTAATAGAAGTAGGGTGTACCACCACACTGCTGTAGCCAACCGCACCAGCAATCCCTAATAATACAACATATAAAACGTCTTACTTCTACGTCTTATTAGCACTTTGCCCACTATGCAGTTTTCAAACGCTACAATACATAATTGATTTATCACTGTTTACCGCATTGAAAAACTTACCAAAGATTCATTTTTTAAACAACATAGTTATACAACTTGATCCATAAAAAGCTACACATTTTAATCACATGCACATTATGATACAGTGTATCAACAACTCACTAAATGCCTAAATAAGATTTATTTTTCAATCGTACACATATGACACTAAAAAACTTAAAAATTGCATCCAACGCCAGGAGCAAAATGGCCATCACCACTCACCGTTATCAGGCGGCCATCTTGACGATCCCACCATAGAAGCTTACCATCAAGGCAGTCTTCATCAGACTTATCCTATAAAATTTAGTAATGAAAAACACCACTTATTTTTTTTTTCAAAAAGAATTGCTTTTGTAATTACTACACAACTGTGCTTTAGAAGTAAAATAAGCTTAAACAACAAAAGAAAAGGTTTGAAATTTCAATGCTTACTTTGGTAAGATACATCAGTCTGAAGAATATGAAAAACGCTAATAATACAGATCCAGTATAAAGGAAAATAGATCGAGGAGTGGCGCGGAAAAATTCTACTTGGGTCATATCTGCTGCATACCAACGGAACATCGCTGGATCCATAACTACCCCTTCCTAAATACCCTGATAAAGCATAAGACAAAGCAACAGGCTGTTTCAGAAAAGTGAAACATACTCCTGCCAGAGCTACACAAAAAAGGTGTGCCAGATGAAAAGAGCTTTAGAGTTTGCTGGACAAGTCCGATCAGTTTTTTAATTTCTACTATAACTACGAACAGGTTAAAAAGTCATTTAATATAGATGTTTAAAAGTAATTTAGATAAAAATTAAGAGAAAAAGCATTACCTTGTATTTGAAATTGCGAGGATCATATTCACGTCTCAAATACTCCTTCTTAAGAATTTCTTTTACACGGTACCTCCACAAAACGGCCTACAAAGATGAACAAAAAAAAATTATTCTTGTATAAACCCAACATATTCTAGAAATAAAAAAAGAGTACCAATTATGTGCTCTGCAAAAAAAAAAAAGTAACAACTAAATAAATAATTGAAGAGAAACCTGCTTTTCCTCATCCGTAAGACTGTACTCTTCGTTAGGTTCAAACTTCATCTTCCCATGAGTCTCAAAATATCCTAGCACAGGGTCTTGCCATAATTTTGGAGAATTAATATTCTGGTTGGCAGCGGGGCTAAGCAGACGAAGCGGCAGGCGCATAACTTTCGCTTATTCCGCTTGCAAAACAATTTCCAGTTTCCTGTAAAACGAGCGAAGATGAAAAAAACAGCCAAAAAAAAATTGCGCACGAAATCCAGCAGTCACACTGTCAATGTTCTCAACAATGCACCTTCGTATCTGAACATCAACTTATTCCTTCCAACAAATCTAACTAAATTCCAATTCAAATCACCCTGGACTCACTAAAATTCCTGACGCTGCACTTGTTCGCCCGGTGTATAACACTCAAAAAACTCCTTCAGCTTTTTTTCCCGAAAATAACACAAAGAAAAAAAGCTAGGTATTTGAATATAAAGCATGATCAGATGCAAATACAGGTGGCTAAATTTTGCTATTAATAGTGCTACCACGTTAAAAAGGTATTGTGGAATATTTCTAAAAATTAAATTGTTAGTTACAAAAAGTGAGGGACGGTCACTTTCAAAAATTAGCTAGCTAACATTATTTCGCACTTGTTTTTGCATTCTGAGTGTTAACAAATGGCAGAAAGGTAATAAAGAGCATAAGAAAAGTATTATAAAATCAACTTTCTCAAAATATCACTATTAAATGCCATTAAACCTATACTTACTACAAGTCGTTACGGAATAGGTGTCACGAAAAAAAAAACAATATATTACAAAACTTCCTTAAAAGTTTCAAGAGCACAAACAGGTGTTTTGAAAAAGTGAATGATGAACAGACAGATTCAAAAATTCTAAAAAAGGAAAGCTGAGAGAAAAAAGCGAGCAAATTTCTTGAAATAGACAGCAAAATAGTACTCAAAAGCCTAGTAATAACAAATCATAAAATTGGCCCAACAACGATTTTAAACATAAGAAACGGATGCCGAATTAAAGTAGAAGCCTTTGTAACGCCTATAAATAATAACATTGCCAAACTCACTAAACTCTCGTAGCTATTAAAGTTATCGCAATGCTCCCTAGAAATCCGTAATCAGCTAAATATCTGAAATTAAAACTGTGAATCAACAGCGACCCAAATATTCACTAGTTTCAACTACCTCATTACTTTTTTATGGCTGTCAACCGTGGAGGAATAGTTAGCGGCTGCGCTGTTGGGAATAAAAGATAAAACGGGCAAACTCGAAATTTTACTTTCTAGAACAATCAAGATGGTATAAATTGGCATCAATATAAGTAAATAATGTTGCCTGCTTTAACACCCTCACTAAAAATAATGTAAACTCCATCAAGAAATCCATTTCAACATTCAGCACTCCCTTCAACCACCTGCACGTGCACAGTCATATCTCGTTTAAAAAAATGTAATCTTCAAGACCTCATCGATATCCTTTAGGAATTTTGGTGGAAAGGTATGACAGGCTCTACAAGCAACAACGGAACGTTACCTGCTTCAATTGCTGATCATGTCCTTTTGTCTTCGCTAAAAACAGTAAGAGTGAGCAAAAAAAAAAAATTAGACACTTGAAAAAGACAAACTTCTTCACTATGCTGTTCTTCACTGCGTTCACCTCTGGCCATCCAAATACGGTGAACCTCAAAAGAAAAGGTTCTTCTAAGTGCAGTTTCTATTCCGAAAGTGCTTTGAAAATTTACATGTAGCATAAGCATGGTGCTAAAAAAAAAAGCCTTCGTAATCGCAGAAAACGAACGTTCTTGAATTAAAATGAAAAAGTAGAAGTATCGGTCGTTCAGAGACAACCTCAGCAATATTTTGTATTCTTCTTCCGCAGAACCAGACCAGAAAATATATATGCGTACAAATGACAGAACAGCGCTGAACTTGCTGATTAAACGACAGTAATGTAGAGAAGGCTTTCAGTATCCATAGGCAGCGGTTATGCGGTACGAATCAGGTTCGTTTCCAGTGAAAATGCGGCAATTCAAAAATTGCAATTACGCAATGTAACTAAATATTTTTTTTGCAGTCCATCATTTATTCGATGATATTAATGGGAACTGTTTTGGCTACACACTTTGAAGAAAACGTCCTTTTTTTTTTTTTTTTTTTTTTT